AATAATATAACATAAAGACCACATCATATAACACTTTTACAAAACATAATAATAAGTTAAATAACAAATTCCACGTAATATAACATATAAGCAAAGTTAGACGGCGTCAGTAATAACTTAACGAAGAGGGCTTAATTGACTCATTTTTATAAGTTTATGCACCCGATTGAGACAAAAAAAAAATGATGACCCACTTGAGATTGATACACAAATACGAGGACCAAACGAGGGTTTTAACCATATAATAACTATATTCCAATAATATACTCTTAGAGTTGGTTTAAAAATAACAAAATAAAATTCTTCTAATTTTAAAAATAATAAAGAATTTTCCTTCTAATTTAAAAATAATGAAGAATCGAGGGTTTAAACCATATAATAACTATATTCCAATAATATACTCTTAGAGTTGGTTTAAAAATAACAAAATAAAATTCTTCTAATTTTAAAAATAATAAAGAATTTTCCTTCTAATTTAAAAATAATGAAGAATTTTCTTTATAATTTTAAAAATATTAAAAAAAATTCTCTTCTAGTTTTAAAAAATAATGAATACTTTTCTTTCTAATTTTAAAAATAATGAAGAATTTTCCTTTTATTTTTAAAAATAATGAGAAAAATAAGTTTAAAAATAATGAAAAAATTTCCTTCTAATTTTAAAAATAATAAAGAATTTTCTTTCTAAAATTTAAAAGTGAGACTAAATTGAATAAAGTTAACGAAATTTGAAACTAAATTGAACAAAATTAACAACAATTGAAACTGAATTGAATGTAAGACACTGACACATTGCATCACGTGCCATAGATACTGACTTGACACGTGACATTATACTGGCTTGACACATGGAACTAATACTAACTTGACACGTGACACAATATTAACTTGACACGTGAACAACTTTTTTAAAGTTAAGAAAAAAATTAAAATAAATTAATAAAAAAAATACGATCTGACACATAACATACTTGATTTATCTTCTGTTAACCAATTAAACGGTATCATGAAAAAAAATCACATTTAATATAATTTATTAAAATAGTGACTACATTGAACATTTAAAAAAAAAGTTCTACATGAACAAAATTAATAAAAAAAAAACCAAAAGAGTATTTAAGTGTTTTTAAAATGAGTAAAATGACCAAACAATATAACTCATTTTATTAGAGTATTTAGGTAATATATGAGAGGTATTAGTTTCTAGTGAACGTTTAAGGATTAAGAGCAATTAAGTGTCAAACTTTAGAATTGAAGTAATAATTCAAGTAATGGGAGCTAACTGTTTGTGTTCTTATTTTACTTGTGGTTGTGTTGGTGTTGTAAGAAGAGTTATTTTTGTTTATTTATGTATGTGATCATGATTGGCTAAGATTGAACATTTAATCATATGTGGTGATTTGTTTTATTTGTTAGATATTATTATTCTTAGTGCATGATTTAAGGTGAGGAATTATATCAAATTTTGGATAACAAAATAAGATGGAATAGATTTAAAACCATAAAATATGTGTTCCAGAGTATATATTTGATTTTTACATTTTCCTTGTGCACAAAACTAGNTAATTCAATTTTTATGAATTCTTTTTATCAAAACGAAAACAAATAATTAAATATTATAATAATTTTCTGTTGTGTGTGTTTTAAAAATTGACCTTGAATTGAAAAGAGCAACTTAGGCATGGCGAATCGTGTCATGATCGAAAAAGATTTGCTTAAAATGGAAATTTAAAATGAAGTGATTTTGAAATGTTGTTGGTTGTGTTTGTGCTTTGCTTTACAAGGGAAACTGGTGTAGAAGAGGGGGCATCCACCATGAATACAAAAATTATCTATTCTTTACAACTTCGTTTTAGTAATTTACACATCTTTTCTCATCTATTTACATTCTTTTCCTTACACTCCTATCATTTACCACACTTCTTTGAATGCTTTTTCTTTTGAACTAGTAGCATAACTTGAAACCAAAAGCCAAATAGTTATAGTAAGAAACTGAAGTTTTATTGAACTTAAACTCACCCTTGTTACTTGAACATGAATATAGTAACTGTAATTAAAGTTTTATTGAACAACTGTAACTTGAGTTCATACTTGATGACATGATTAAGCAACTGAGGGCGTAACAAACTTGTGTTTGGTATTCTCAAATACTTGTTCCGCAATTACAGCAACACTACCTTCAGCCTTTTTGATCTCCAAGTTCACCTTCTCATAAAAGCTACTGTGCTTCATTGCATCAGCACTGTTACTCCCAACTCCAAGAGCCACAGCAACTTCTGCTCTAGCTGCGTAAACCACTCTCTGTACCAGTGTGAGCAGAATAAGTGTTGTGACCAATTTCATACAAACTAGACAAACATTTGGTGAAGGGAAAATATGAGTAGTGTGGCGAGGTCACCTTGAATTTGGAAAAAAGAATTGCACCATAGCACATTGGACAAGGCTCACAAGAAGCATAAATCTCACAGTCAGCAAGTTCAATTTGATTCAGCTTTCGACAAGCCTTCACATGATATCATAAGATCCAAAATGGGTTAATTATATCGAACATAATAAGTAGAAAAAGTAATATATTTTGTTTAATGGGCAAATGTTAGATTTTGTTAACTGAACCGATCTATCCCTCCCTTCCACTTTCTTTACTGTAAGCAAACCTTATATTTCTAAGTAGAAAAGCTAATATGGTTTGAGAAATGAAGCAGCAAAATACATATTGTAGATGCATGATGCCCTTTTAACAGTGAAATTCAAGACGGAAACTATAACAATTGTTAACTAAACCTCTCTTATAGCAGTAATCTCAGCATGAGCACTGGGATCAGTGTTTCTTAGAACCATGTTATGACAGCTTGCAACTATTTCATCATCTCGAACAATAACCGCGCCGAATGGACGACCATCGCCACTTTCAACTGCTTTATATGCTTCTTCAATTGCTATTGTTAGGAACTTGTTTTCTCTATCCTCTGCAGCAGCATGTTATAAGAAGACAGTGTTAACTCCAATTACATAATCAAGTGTTTCACATCATGGGACAAATTTAATGCATAACATAATCAAATCACGATCGTTTTTCCTCCATATAGTGTGTAAGTGACAATTTAACATTACATAATTGAACACACTAGCATTAATTGAAGAGGGAAAAAATTGCACAAGTGAAACAGAACTACAAGAAATTATAATTATGAATGATTTTACCACTAGAAGCAGTAGCAACATCCTCCATCACGGTATTAGGATTAGATGAGAAAGATGACACGGAAAATTGAGAGCGATCGTTGAAATCATATAGAAGAAAAGAAACGCAGAGAAACTAGACCTAGATTTTCGCTTGGAAATGCATAGTAGTCAATGACTTGTTTCTATTATTCTAATATATTTGTGGTATACTTACCCCAGAACTTAAAATATTTAAATTGGTGCTTTTTAATAATATTTGAAGCGTGTAGAACTTATTTTGTTCTTATTTAAATATTTATTGAGTTTTATTTTCCTGAAAGAACGTGTGTTTATTACTTAGGAGAACACGACTATTCTATTCTTATTCTTTGGTAATCTTTTATTTCAGATAAATATTTTATAATAATTAATTTTTAGATCAAAGTATAAATAATGTATGATTTTAGAAAATTCAACTCAGTAGAATTATGAAAATATTAACTAAGTTTAAATTATAATTTTTAGAAGGCTTAACTATACTTTTGTCTTTTTTATTGTTGACTTTGTTCATCGTGGGATTCATTATTTTTCGAATGTTTAACGTGATCCCTATTTTAGTCAATTATATTCAATTTTGGTTCATTTTCACGATGTTGTATNCGTAACATTATTGTTAGTATTATGAAATTAATTTAATTATTTATTACTTTGTGTTTTAATATTATTAATTAGCACTTTTTTTTATTATACTGTAGATGGGGATGAAGAAAAAGATACTTCAAGAAAACAAAATATTGTGGATTTATCCGACTCTAATATTATAAATGACACAAAAATTATCAATACCAAAAACTTATTTGTTTCCTTTTTCTACTTGCTTTTGGATTGTATTGTACTTTTTTTATTTTAATTGTTCGTCACTTTGGAGTGAAATTTATTTATATTCGAATTACAAAAAAATTATAATTTTTTTATTTGAAAAAAAAAGGTTGTAATTAAGTGAGCCAATGAAGTAAGTCGTTTAACCCACCAACCAATGGTGGGCCGGATTGAATTCGAATTTTGTTGGCTCACTAATAAGTGAACCCGGTTGGATTAACTCACTAAAGACCAACTCATGGTAGGCTAGACCGGATGACCCATTTTGACAGCACTATTTTATACTTTTTTTTTTTCATTTGCTTTCTATAAATTTAGTTTTCTTACTATTTTCCATTTTTGTTTTTATTTTCTTTATATTACAAAACGATCAATTTGTTTTCTATTTACTGCGGTGTTTACCTACTTCTACAGGAAACAGACAAAATAAATAAAAAGAGTTAGTTTTAGTTTTTTTCATACAAATATTTAGAAATAGGAAAGAAATTAAGAAAAAAGGTGATACATTTGTAATTCACTATTTTTTACCTTACTCTCTCAAATTTCAGTACTAGCTGATATTATAGGTTAGGTTTTTTTCTTTTGCTTTTCTTATTATATAACAAAAAATGGACAATTTTTTTTATATATTTTATGTAGAGTCAAATATTATTTAATAGATGGCATTAACTCTTGCAAACAGAATATCGGAAGTTATTAATGTAAAAAACAAGCAGAAAACACTGAAAACAAAACATTAGCTGAACTAAGCAACTAGTTTCCGTAAACAAGGGATGCAAACCAAAAACAAAAAAATACTAACGTGATTGTTTTTACTTAAAAATTTTTAAGGACATTCAACAAAACAAAAGGAATGAGAAATCGTCAAAGGTATACTTGTCCAAATGGGTGTAAGTGTTTAAACCTTGTCCAAAATTATTTATTCTTTACATCTTCGTTTTAGTAATTTAGGCAGCTTTTCTCATCTGTTTATAGCCGTTTCTTTACACTTCTATCATTTACCACAGTTCTTTGAATGTTTTTTCTTTTGGACTAGTGGCATAACTTGAAAAAACCAAATGCCTATTACAGGTTTTCTTGAATATGGTTATAGTAAGAAACTGAAGTTTTATTGAACTTTAACTCCACCCTTGTTACTTGAACAAGTTTTATTGAACAAACTGAAACTTGCGTTTTGATGAGATGATTAAGCAACTGAGGGCATAACAATCTTGTCTTTGGTATTCTCAAATACTTGTTCTGCAATTACAGCGACACTACCTTCAGCCTTTTTGATCTCCATGTTCACCTTCTCATAAAAGCTACTGTCCTGCAGTGCATCAGCAACGTTACTCTCAAGTCCAACAGCCACAGCAGCTTCTGCTCTAGCTCCATAAACCACTTTCTGTACCAGTCTGAGCAGAATGAGTATTGTGACCATTTTCATACAAACTATATAAACATTTCGTGAATGGAAAATATGAGTAGTGTGGCGAGGTCACCTTGAATTTGGAAAAAAGAATTGCACCATAGCACATTGGACAAGGCTCACAAGAAGCATAAATCTCNTGTAACTGTGATGACGTGGTGCACACATATGCATACATCTTATATTACGTAGAATTTTTTATTTAATTTGTTATTAAGTCTTATACAATTGTCCAAACGCAACCTCATAGTCCTTGGCGAAAAACCTTGCACCAATCAGCTTCTTGTTACAATTTGATGGGTTGAAGTTCTTATCTCTCTCACACTCACCTTTCCCGCGATACATCCGGCAGCAAGAAGATCACACTGCTCTGCCCAATTACACAGGAAATCAAACTATACCCCTTTATAGTACCAACAATGATATAATCATTAAGAAAATAAAAGGAAAATGACAAGGGAAAAGAAAGAAGAAATATGTTTATTTCCAATCCCTTAATAACCCCAACAAATCTTTCAAATTGAATGATGAATTCACTCATGGAGTTCTCTTGCTTCAGAGCCAACAACGATTCAAAAGGCAACGGAGGGAGTAAGAGAGACATTGTTGAGTCGCTTGAGTACCAAAATCAGAGCCTGAGTACCCAAATATTTCACCATGAGCCTTAAGCGACAAATAAAGCTATTGAGCAAGAGCCAAACCAGGCAAAGCAATCCCCATATTCTGACATTCATTCAGACAAATCCCCAAATCTTTAACAAAGTGGTTCACGAAAAATCCCGCTTCAAAATCCCTCTTTAAGATCCTCTTTCCTTACAAGTCCAGCGACTTCGAACCGATCGCGCTGGTGAAAATCGCCTCCAGGTACAACCTACATCCAACCTCGCCTTGTGCGCGTACACCATTCCCTCCACCAGCCCTACCATCGTCGACGCTATCGTCACCTGATTCGCCAATTTCGCAAATTGCCCCTTCCCACTCCCTCCCATGTAGTTCACTTTCCCCATCACTGAAAACAAGGGTTCCAGATTCTTCACTGCCGATTCCTCCCCGCCGGCAAAAATCGCTAAGGTTTAGTTCTTCGTGCCTCGGTCGCTGCTGGAGACGGGGGCGTCGATGGAGTGACAGCCTTTGCCCGCGACTGGTTGCTCCTACTGTTGTTCACTTTCAGTCTTGGAAGGTTTACAACAGTTAATAAGTAAATTGGGCACTAGCTCCTTTTCTAGAAAGGATATGTACACTGAGACAGCAGCATCGAGAAAAATCAGATGATAAAATTTCTTCAACTGGTTCGTGTTCTTCATAAGTTTGGGGACTCTGACAGCAGTTATCATTCTGGTGTACATTCAAGATCACATAGGGAGACGGCGGTTGCCGGAATCAGGGTCTAAAGGGATCGACGACGCGACGGTGACGATGGATTAATGAGTCGCAACGACAGCATGAAGAAGGAACTAATTAGGTTTTCATTTTTACACAGACAAACGTCAAAACTGGCGTCATTTAATAGCTCATTTAAAATGGTAGGTTTCATACAATTAAATAATATAACATAAAGACCACTTCATATAACACTTTTACAAAACATAATAATAAGTTAAATAACAAATTCCACGTAATATAACATATAAGCAAAGTTAGACGGCGTCAGTAATAACTTAACGAAGAGGGCTTAATTGACTCATTTTTACAAGTTTATGCACCCGATTGAGACCGAAAAAAAAATGATGACCCACTTGAGATTGACACACAAATACGAGGACCAAACGAGGGTTTAAACCATATAATAACTATATTCCAATAATATACTCTTAGAGTTGGTTTAAAAATAACAAAATAAAATTCTTCTAATTTTAAAAATAATAAAGAATTTTCNTAAATATTTGAAAAAGAAAATATAATATTTTAATTGCATGCGTGCAAACGATGGGGTGTATGTATGTGAGCCTCGCTTGACACGAATAAAGCAAGAAGGTGTATTTTAAATTGTTTCAATGGTATATAAAAAGTTATACTTCAGACTCTTCAAATTCTTTTCAAATGTTTTAGCTGTGTTGTGAATCTGTATAATTAGATTCGGATTAATTACTACTTAATTGAAGACTATTTACTACTTTGTAGATTATTACGTAAGTGACAAACAGATGACTTATTATAGATTAAAGATTATTCTTCTTTGATTTAGTTTTAAGATAACACACCTTCTAAACTGTGTTTTTCAGGATTTATATTTAGTGAAGTTTTCGGAAACGTAATAATTTTTTTTTCTGTACAAATTGGAATGAAAAGTTTTAATGATAAAAAAGTGATGTTATTCTTATTAAAAACATCATTCAATTAATAATTTGATATTAGATTTATTCTTATGATTCACTAAAGTCAATTTGATAATATTAATATAATTTCAAAGGTATAAATATTAAACTAGAATGAAAAGTTTTAAGGATAAAAAATAGTACTGTTCTTATTAAAAGAAATTTATGACAACAAATCAAATAATTTGACAACAAGAAGACCTTATATAAATATTTGTACAAAATAAAATATTATTGACAACTAAAATTTATTGAAAATATAAAAAAATATTGTTAATAATGACTTTTTTTTTATGATTATCAACGGATAACAATTTATTGATAAATATTTAATGAAAAATTAATCGATAATATTTGTTGATATTTATAGACGAAAAAAATCTGTTAGATAAAATTTATCCGATTTGTTGTATTTTCTTCCTTCTCTCTCCTCCTCTTTTTTCATTATTTTTTTCATTTTTATAAAATCTATTACCAACAAAACATCACACAAATAATTACTACATTTTCCAACAATCAAATGACCAATTTATTTGTAATAACTAAAATCATAGGAAATCATCAAAGGAAGAAGATAGATGAAGTTTTTTGTAAGGTGAGATTTTGTTCACAGATTTATTCTCAACAAGGTGAAGTTTTTCCGCTGCAATCTGTGAGAGAAAGAGGAAAAAAAAGATGTCGTTATTGCTGATGATATTCGGGATAGTACACATCAACATTATAAGGACTCGCCGGAAAAGCTAAAATGCACACACCGGTGGTGGTAGGTTACAATAGTGGCGGGTTGCAATGATGGTGGGGAATAGGGTGATGAGAGACTTTGGGTTTTAGTGGTGGTGGGGAGTAATGGTGAATAAACTCTATGTGTTGCAGTGGCAGTGCATTGCAATGGTGACGAAGAGACTCTGATAAGAGAAAAAAAAATGTGAAATTTGCCATTGAAATTTGTTGTATAGGTTGACACTGAATACGAAATTTGAGTAAAAATTGTTTTCTTCACTTATAGATTTTTTTTTAATAATGTATATTTTGTTTAGCGATGAATTTTTTCATTACAAATATCAACAGATTTAATAAAGAAAAATTCATTGATAATATATAATTTATTTATTGATAAATTTTAACATAAAAAATATATTAATAATGTATATTTTATTTATAAATAATTTATCGACAATTTTTTTTAATAATAAATCTTTCCATAATTAAAAATTCAAGATTTATCAATAATTCAAATTTACTGAGTGTCAATAAAAATTTGTATTGATAAAATATTTTTCATATGATAAAACTAGAATTACACAAATATAGAAACTTAATTATAAGAAATTATATTTCATATCAAATCCAGTACCACGCGCTATTTAAGATATTTATGCAGAAAAACAATTTTTTCTATAAATATTTATAGATAAATTATATGAACAGACTGATATCGTGATGCTATCTAATATATTTCTTCCGAAAAGCTAATTTTTATTTTTTTATGAACATTTATAGATAAATTATATGAACAGAAGAATATGCCTGATTTTAATATTTGAAATATAAAGGTGATACATAAAAATGCTAACAAAATTTTATATTATTGGCAAACCAAATATTATAAATAATATCAGATAAAATATCTTTCTTTACTTTGGATGCATGTAGGGATTAAAAAGAAACTTGAATTCCTAGATATTTATAAATTAAATTTATTATGAAATTATCAGTAATTTTTAATTGACTATTTTTTAAATTCAAATAATCAAAAGAGAAATTAAGAAACTTTAAAAAAATAACTTTAATAATTATATTTTCTTTTAATAAAAAAATTATGAAATTAAAGTTATTTTATAAAAGATTAATTTTTTAAATTTTATATTTTAACGTAACTTATTAAATTTATATTTAAAAAGACCAAATTTATTTAAACTAATATTTTACTAAGTAATTTATATTTCAAAATTATTTTTTCATTTACATATATATTTTAACAATTGTATTTAAATAATTTTGCTTAACATATTAAGAAATAAAATACAAAATATATGGGATAGTACGTTTTTACATATAACCAGTAAACAAGATGGAAGAATTATTTTTAGATAGATAGTATTATTCATATTAGATTATCATCCTTATATCTCTACACGCATTATCATCTATGTATTCATACCCATTCTATGCAAACGAAATGACTTTCAACTTATACAAGTCGTGCATTCTGTAGCGGATTCCAATTCTTTGATGCAGCACCACTTTGTTAAAGGTTGATTGACCGATCATGTGATGGACATTTTGACGAGACAGTTTATACGGTACAACTATTTATAAAATTAATAACAATAAATAATATAACAATTTATAAACATGATAACAATAGGTCATATAACTATTTAATATTAATGTGTACGTAGAAAACGAAATGAGGGTTGCAGTTGTGTACCTTTGACACTGTGCATGGTGCTGGGAATGAAGTCACGGGCTTAGGACACTTCATACACGCTGTTCAGCACCACGCCTGATGGACGTTGCTGGTTGCATCCTTTATATTAAAACTTTTGGACAGTAGTTCCATGCATTATTCTGCACAGCTGTGTGATAACGTTATATGACACGTGACATTATACTGGCTTATACATCACACTAATAATAACTTGACACGTAACAATAATATTGTCATGTTACAATATTAACTTGACACGTGAACAATTTTTTTTAAAGTTAAGAAAAAAATTAAAAAAAATACAAACTGACACAATATACTTGATTTATCTTCTGTTAACCAATTAAACGGTATCATGAAAAAAAATCATATTTAATATAATTTATC